GTCCTGATGTAACAAGGACATTTGAGTTGTGCGTGTTAAGAAGCAGAAGACAAACTTTTCCATTACTCTTCATTTTTTCAAATGACCTTTATTTGTTCTCGTGTTTTGTTCTCTCTGTTCAGCTCTTTTGTTTGCCCTTTTCTTTAAAAAAAATAACTATTCAGTGACAGACCTTTTCAGTCTTTTTGCTCCATTTCTTTCTTTCTATTTTTTTCTGTCAGACCTCATCATCCTTGACACCTGGACTTTTATGTTTCAGATCTTCCTGTTATGATTTCAGGCATCAGCTGGCTGGTATTCTCTTCTCACAAGGTGAAAATTTACACATTCCTTCTGCAGACGTTATTTTCACCATCTTAGCTCCACAGTAAACGCTTCAGACAAAACTCAATGTTTTCTGTAAATCATTCATCATTCGGTGACTCAGATTTAACTCTGCTCTCCGTCTCGACCTCGACTCAACAAAAGCTTTTATTCCACTTTGTAATTTATTTCTTAGAAAACGTTCACATGCACATCTCTCGTTGCAAATGCCATGGAATTAAATTCATCTTGAACTTTCTATCTGCCTGCAATAAAACCCCTTTTAGCAGCTGCGGAGGGCTGATACTGACTTGTATTTGGTCCAGAATGACTTCAGCACAGACTGGATTTGTCTGAAGCCAATGATGTCTGTATAGATCAGRTCTGGTTCCACTTTTGGTTGACGAGAAGGACAGTTACTTATTAAAGGATCAAAAAATCTAAACAAGCAGAAAAAGACAAAGAAACAAGCAAAATGCATTTTAGATGATTATGTGAAAACTTTTATTTTATGATTTATAAACATAAACCAAGTTTAAGTTTTACATTTTTACTTTTATTCCTATGAAAACCATTGACTCACGTTTTGAGGTCCTGTTTGGATGCAGACAGGTGAAGATCGTGACCTAAAGTGTAAACCGTGGCTATAAGATCACTCCACTGAACCAGCTCSCCCAGGGGCCCGCCACTGAAAGCGTTCTCCACTATTTTTAGATTTGCTTCTTGTGTAACCAAACCTGGATGCACCAGAATCTGAGGGGAAGAAACAGATGTGAGGACACAAATGAGCCACATGTGCGGCTTTTCTGACCCGACTTTAAAAGCCTTCTGATCAGTCACTAAAGTGACAGAGCTGGGTGACTCATTTCCTCCAATCACAACAAATCTCTTTTCAATTTGATTCTAATGTGTGTCTTTTCTTGGGGCGAGGAGCTTGTATTTTCTTGTTTGGTGACTTGTTTCCTGTTTTTACCACCACTGAAAGAAGAATCTTTAACACTCTGCTTAACTTGTAAAGTGGGTTTTATCACAGGGACTCATCGGGAAACTGTTCATGTCTCTCTGACCATTTAAAAACAAACTAAACTAAATAAGACTAACAGAAAAAAAACCTCAGTTTAAGTAGAAATGCAAACACACGTTTTGTATTCAACATCTGCGAAATGATGGGAAATGACTGGGAGAATAAAAATATATACAGCGGGTAAAATAAGTATTGAACACATCAACATTTTTCTCAGTAAATATATTACTAGAGGTGCTAATGA